CACCTCTCGCTTCCTTCCGTTCTTAGCCCTTTCTTCCACAGTCTCCTTTTCTGAAGCCCCACTGAGCTTCAACCTGCCTCCACCCTTGAAACGCAAATGTTCGAGAGCCTTCCTCTGCACTTTCTCCGAAGTGCTGGCCCTTTCTCCATTCTCCCACGCGACGCCTGTCTCCCCGACTCGGATGTGAGCTCCCCGAGATGCAGGGCTCTTGCTGGCTCTGTCCTTCCTGCTCTTTCAGTGCCTGGAAGGTTCTGTTGTCAGCCCCACTTTATACACAAGAAACGAAGGCTGGAAGGAGTCAGGTCATTCGTCTTTGGTCACTCAGCCATCGGGAGGAAGCCAGGACATGCCCACGGTCCTGCCATGGCAGCGTCTAGGCTCCCTGAGGCCCCAGAGCCCCACAGTCAGTCCAGGGCGCGTTGCTGGGAGTTCAGAGCTGTGCCCAGAACCAAGGCGCCCTCCCTGCACCCCGCCCGCCGGTCCTGCTCTCCCCCCAGCCTGGGGCCGCTCCCTGCCACTCAGCTGGCCTTCACTGGTGTCGCCTAGGGGTGCCCTTCTCCTTCGAAGCTGACGGTAGCAACCGGCTGATCTTGATGACCTCCGGGAAGGTGTCCAGCAGCGTGGCGTGGGCCGTCGGAGAAAACGGGGTCCCTCTCATCCCGCCACTGTCTCAGCAGAACATCGGATTAAGGAGGTAGCGCGGGGCTGGAGCAGATGGGGCGTCTCAGCCGGGGGGGCTGTTCTGAGCCTCACGTTCTTACCTGCATCATCATGGGCCAGGCTGTCAGAGATTTTTTTTTTTTTTAAGATTTATTTATGCATACAGAGCTGGGGGTCAGGTCAGAGGTGCAGGGGCGGTGAGAGGATTCACCAGAGGCAGAGTGGGGAGCAGGACAGGTAGATAGAGGAAGTACACTGCTGAGGGGAGCCATGGGGAGACAGGAGAGGTCTGCAGCACCCTGTGGGTCACCCCCGGGGCGGGGATTGAACTCACACAGAGGCTTGCAGTGCTGCGCTTTAACCCATTGCGCCACCAGGGAGGGCCAGGCCATCAAAGATTTTTATTGTTCTCCAGGAGAAAATGTAAATACTAACAGTTTAACAAGTCTGGCCTTTGCCAGTGGAGGGAGGAGACACCAGGCCCAGGCCGCACGTCAGCTTCTCTCCCGGGAGCCCGATTCCCGAGGGCCGAGCATGTGTGGTGTGTGTGTGGCCCTCTGGGGGTTTCTATCAAAGTCCTCTTCCCAGCCCCTCCTTAGACCCTGGGCTTCTGCTCCGAACAGCAGAAAAGGGCCCAGGGCCTCCTTTTGTGCCTCTGGATCCTCCTCGAAACAACTGATGACCATCCTTTCGTGTACCTGTTGGCCATTGGCATGTCTGACTGGACCCAATGTCCATTCAGTTCCTTTCCCATTTTTCTGAGGTTATTTGTGTTGTTTTGGTTTTGCTGTTGAGTTGCATGAGCTATTTCTATGTTGTTCACCGTCACCAACCAGTGATGGTGTGGTCTGGGGTCGCGGACCAGCCTCAAAAGCAGCAGGACAGGGTCTTGAAGGTGTGAACTAGGCTAGGCTAGGGGAGGTTCTCGGAGGGAGGGGGAGGAGAAGGGGGAGCGAGAGAGACCCACAGATGGAAGTGTCTCCTGCTCATTGCAGCAGGTCTTTATTTATATGGTGTAGCAAGTAGTTAATGATAATAATGCACAAGGTGAGGTGAGTGAATAAGAATTCACCATTTAAGTTCTCAAGGAAGAGGGGAACGATGCATTCTTTTCCTGACACTTTATGGTATGCTAAATTATACACATTTGTGATAACATCCATGTATACGGATGTTTAACTGCAACTCAAAGGATAAGGGGTCTGGGAAAGGATGAGCTTTATGTTAGTAAAGGATTGTTAGGGGTCTAGGGAAGGAATAAATTTTGTGTTAGCAGAGTCATCAGTGATTGTCTAAGGAGAGGCTAATGGCTAACTTACGGCTAGCGGAGAGTAGTTAGTGATTGTTTAAGAAAAGGCTAATTCCAGAGAAGTTTATACAGCCATACATTAAACAACCCCTGTTAAAGTAACCTTAGCAAACTGCCCGTGAACCCTTATGCCCCGAGGGGTCTTATATCCTGAGGCTTGCCTTGTGTCAGGAGACAGGAATTTTATTTTATGCTCTGGGGCAGCGCCTGCTTGCCTGGGCCAGGCAGCCATTTTATGAGGCTCAGGCAATCCAGTTGTAAACTGACAGTTGCTCAGAATATTTTTGAGATTGTGACTATACAAAAAGGGGGGGTCGTAACATAAGCTAGCAGTAGAGGTCCTGATCTTTCAGGTGGTCTCTTTTCTCCTGCCCAGAATTTGTCAGTCGACAAGAGTTGCATAGCTTGTGTCTGTCTGCACATTCCTGCTCCTCGATTGTCCTCATAGCATATTGAGTAGCGGCCAGCAGGGAAACAAAATGGCGGCCGTCCTTGCCTGTGGTCAGATGGTCTCTCCCTGGGAGGGTAAGGGCCACCACAAGCTGTGGTTCCCCTGGGAAGCTGTGGTCCACTGCAGACTGCTCTCTGCAAGGCCATCTCATGGGGCCGACTTGGTTTTCAGTGCTCTGAAGAGAGCAGATGCCATCTCCTCTATCGGCACATCAGGACTGACGGACATGAAGAAATTGGCCAAGTGGGCAGCGGAGTCCAGGCTCGACCCGAATGACCCCAGCAATGCCCCTCTGATGCAGCTGATCTCGGTAAGGTGACAGGAGGGCACACACGCCTGTTGGCTTGGCGCAGCCATCATGGAGTGTCTGGGTCCCTCACTTGCGTTTCTTTTGCTCCCTGCTCTCCCAGCCCAGGTGCGTAAAGCTGCACAGCAGGTGACTTCAATGGTCTCTGCGGCTGGTGGTCAGACAGGTGCTGCACTCCTAAGCCTGTGCCCCTGCAAAGGTGGACACAAGCAAGCTAGCACTGCAGATAAGCACCTGGCCATCACTACACTCCGTGTGTAAAATGAGCCGCTGTTGCGTGTGGATGACATGCTTATCTCTAACCTTTGTGACGCCCCCCAAAAGCCCTAGCTTGCCCCTTCTATAGAGAAGCACTGAGTTCAAACCCTCAGTTACCCGCCCCACAGGGGCACGTGGGCCTGATTTCAAAGCACAGCTGTTTCATCACACTTTAAGAAATGGGGATTTTGTTGGTCGCCTTGTTGAATGATTAACTACATTATCATTTAGGTTTCATTTAAATACTTATGTGATCAATTGCTAGTCTCTATCATACAACTAAAATTCATTTTTCTGTAAATTTATAAATAAAATGGAACGTTAGTTAGGAAATGATTTTTCTTGCTAGCAAATGCCATTGTTGTTACTGCATCATTCCCACAAAAGCTGAGTAAACAAGAAGATGGTCCAGGAAACAGGTAGATGTCCGTCCTGGGTCCCTGTTTGTCCACAGGGTAATTCTAACCAACATGAAAACCTCCGTGTCTCTCCCGGTCTTTTTTAGATAACATCAAAGCAAGCTTGGGCTTATTCTAGCTTGTTCCATCTTTATAAACTCTCCTTCCAAAGTGATACCTCTTAATATGGATAAGAGAAACATTAGAAAGAATAGCCCATCTTGCCTCGCATGTTTTCTCTCTGTGCCAAGTATTCAGCTCACACTGTGGCCACCATCTTCCAGCCAGCAGCAAACAGTACATCTGGTTGACCCACCTGGGCCCACTTGCCTTCCTTGGGAAGACGGGTGCAGGGGCCCTTCCCCGCTGGCCTCTGTCCAAAGCCGAATTCTCCTGCAGGACACCCTTCACCCCAGCACATCTCAGCCCACGCTTCCTCTCTGCCCAGGGAGAGGCCACAGTTGGCAAAGTAGCTGGTAGCGGGCAGAGGGCAGCTCACACCCGCCCACCCCTCGGCTTCTGCTGCAGGTGCCTGTGCCCTGGGGGGACCCATCTCTGGCTCCTGTCCCCCTGTTTGGGGACAGGGGCGTCTGGCCAGGAGGCAGGGGCCACTCAGCTGACCCAGGGGCCTTCACTACTCATGAACAGATTTTCGCAGCTGAATTTTATATTTTGAAATCATTTTATGCACAGTGTAAAATAGCTTCCAGACTATGTGTACTAGGAACCTAATTTCAGCAGGCACCTGGTAAGACACTGACAGAACTCCATCTCCTCTTCTCAGTCTGTATAATTTGCGTGACACCTATAACCTCAGGAGCAAGCTGCCCACAGCTACTGAATGCACGCAGTAGCATCTGCCTTGTTACTGTTATATTCTCATGTGTTTTGTTTTGAAATGAAATGTGGGGAACGGCAGGTCTCTCCGGCAGGAACTGGTGAGTGTTCCGGGCCCAGCTTCTGTGCGCGGGGACCGCCTGGGAGCTCACTTTCTGCTTTTCGCAGGTGGCTACCAGCGGAGAATCCTACGTCCCCGATTTCTTTCGACTGGAACAGCTACAACAGGAATTTAACTTTGTCTCAGACGAGGAATTAAACAGATCCAAACGCTTCCGGCTTCTGCGTCTCAGAAGCCAAGAGGTGCCAGAGTTCCGAAATTACAAGCAAGTTCCGGCGTTGGACCGCGAAATCACGGAGAAGGTGTTCCAGGTGAGGCCGGGGGAGGCTGCCGCAGTGACGGCTACTGGTTCGCTCCGGCGGGGGTGGCCGTGCTGTGACCCACTTCTCTTCACAGCCCTTTATGTGACTACTCGCTGAGTTTCCAGAATTGTCTCAATGTAGTGACATGTAAATGAAGAAAAATGACAGCTGTAGGGCAGAAAACATCTTAAATGTTAGAATGTCAAGTTCTCCCTAGCCAGGAGCTTGGCACCATCAGAGCGTGGTTAAGTATTCACTAAGCACAAACCCGGGGTGAGCCCACAGGGCAAACTAGATGGTAGGATCTGAGCAGCCTTGGGGTGCAGCGGGCGGGGCAGGAAGGAAGTGGGGTGCAGGGAAAGACCAGCAGGCGGCCCTGAGGTCTGGAGGAGGAGGGGGCCTGCCGGGTGCCCGGTGCCAGGTGATACACCTGTGCAGGTGGGGGAGGGGTGCAGAGGACAGGGGAAGCCAAATGTGCAAATTTGTGTTTGATGAGATAAAAAGGGAGCCATGAAACGTTGGGATTTTGCCCATTTGATTTGTCGTGCAGAACCTATTCTTTGAGACTATGTGGGTTACTTGGTTCTTTGAATTAAATGGGACAGGTGAATAGAAATAAATAAAAGCCCAGTTTGAACTTGCTCGGGCACCAAGGGGAGTTTATGATTTGACCTGAGACACAAGGACCCCTGGAGGCAGGGCCTGGCCCCCTGAATCCATCCTGCGGGGCTTCACCTCCCACCTAGACAACGTGTCTCCCCTTGGCCGGTGATCCCCAGCAGCCCTGGCGTCCACACCTCGCTGCAGCCGGGGTGGGGGTGATTCCTCTGAGCCCCCAGCACATTAGGGGTGCCTGGGCCCATCCTGACCGGCCAAGTCCTGAAGGCAGCTGCTCCCGGGCCCTGGGGAGTTGCATCCCTAGGAAAAGAGGGAAGCCCAGCAGCCGAGCAGACAGAGCCAGGCTGCATCCTCCACACTCCAAGTAGGCAGCTCAAGTCGTTGCAGCAAATGCTATTTGTGATTTGTAATGACTTGATTTAAAACAGAAAGGCCACATAAGTGCGGGCTTTGACTAGGGCTTGGCCAGCCCAGCGTGAGCTGCGAGCCCTCAGCGGCCACACATCACGCTCTCAGGGCAGCTCTGTAGAAGCCCTGCCAACGCGCTCCACAGTCAGCTCCCAGCCAGGCAGCACATTAGAGCCACCAGCTGCGCCCTCTCGCCACGAGCACCGGCTGCTTCTCACCGTCCGGAGCAGCGAGAGCGCGTAGCACTTCCAGATGATGAAATGGGGACTTCCGTTTCTCTTTAGGACTATGAGAAGCGTCTACGAGACAGAAATGTAATCGAAACCAAGGACCACTTAGACACCCACAGGGCCATGGTAGCCAAGTACCTGCAGCAGGTGAGAAAAATCAGCCACGACGACTTCATGCGGGAAAATGGCGCCCTAAGGTGGTGGTGGGGGGCAGGTAACTGGACACGGGGTAGGGGCTCAGGAAGCGTCTGCCGCTTAGGTACCCACCCGATACTGCCGAGTCCTGACCCACAACTGCAGAAATGAAACAGACACGTAGCCACCTTCCTTCCCGAACTTCTGGAAACACGAGGGCGCGTCTCGCTTTATTAGCAGCAGTTAGCTGAAGTGCAGCACACTACCGGGCACTTGGCTTCTAAGTGACCAGTCGCAGTTATTTGGACGTTTGCACCGTGTTACTTTTGCATTAAGTCACCTGCTGCTGGTCCTGGCACCAGGAGTCAAAACGTGCTCCAACCGCCCCTGCCTGCTCCCTCCTCGCTCCCTCTGGGAAATGGGACTTGTAGGACTTGCCGGAGGGACCAGAGTCATCTCCACGGCCAGTTCCCTCCCCTGCTGCCCAAGGGCACAAACCCGCTGGACACTTAAGGGAGCCTCCGTTTGAGGGGGAAGTGGGACGTCAGTCAGGCCGAGTCCGGAACACCCAGGATTCACAATGGATGGTCTGAGCTCCCACACCGGCCCACCTTGTTCATTCATTCAGCAACATTATTTCCTGTGTGTGCCGGAGCTTGTCGGGGCCTGAGAATGCCACGGGACCCAAAGGAGCGCTCCTGTCTTTACAGATCACCCGCTCGTAAGCAAAGCTGGGTGTTTGTGGTACATCAGTGCTGCTGAAGCGAATGTTGGGATGCACGGAGGATTTTTCTTTTCATGGAAGCAATGATTTTGTTTTTTTAAAGATTTATTTATTTGTACATACAGAACTTGGGTATAGGCCAGAGGCTCAGGGGTGGCGAGAGGCTTCACCAGAGACAGAGTGGGGAGCAGAACAGGCAGATCGACGAAGTACACTGCTGAGGGGAGCAGCGGGCGGGTCAGGAGAGGTCTGGCGCGCCATGTGGTCACCTCCGGGGCAGGCGGGGATGGAACTCATGCGGAAGTGGCTTTAGCTTCTCAGTGCTGTGCTTTAACCCGCTGTACCACCAGGGAGGGTCAGGAAGCAATGATTTTTTTAAAAATAATATAATAGTTTATGTTTAAACTATTTTGTGCCGTTTTCCATCTCAGCTGTAATCCCCGTGGGCTTCCCATCACCAGATCACCCGTGTGCCATCACCACAGTCCAGTGCATTCCCCCATTTTTGATCCCATTCCCCACTCCACCCCCATAAAATGTCTCTGGTATACAATTGTTCATTATTATTATTATTATCTCCCCCTGGTTCTTTATACTCCTGCTATGAGTAAAGCCATCCAATATTTTTCTTTTTCTTTCTGGCTTATTTCACTCAGCATGATCCCTTCCAGCTCCATCCATGTTCCTGCAAAAGAAATGTGTTTTGTCTTTTTGGTTGCTGAGTAATATTCCATTGTGTATATGGACCACATCTTTTTAATCCAGTCATCCGTTTTTGGGCATTTGGGCTGTTTCCATGTCTTTCCTATTGTAAATAAAGCAGCAGTAAACATGGGGGTGCAGGTATCTTTTTGAATCTGTGTTTTTGTGTCCTTTGGGTAGATACCTAGGAGTGGGATTGCTGGGCCACATGGAAGCTCCATTTTTAGCAGTTTGAGAAACCTTAAATGGAGGATTTTTATCATTGTAAAGCAAAGTGACCCTGGGGCGTGGGGGTGGGGCGGCATTGGGGTGACGCTTGGTAAAGTCGCAAAGGGATTTAGGAAGTGAACTGTGATATTGATGGAACAAGAGCATTTTAGGTGACGCTTCCTTCTCGCCCCAGGTCAGAGAATCCGTGCTAAATCGGTTCCTGATGGCAAAACACCACTTTCTTCTTGCCGATTTGATAGTGGAAGAAGAAGTTCCCAATATCAGGTAAAAACAGACCTTTTGTGATTTCTTATAAAAGCTTAACTGTAGGAGAATGTTTTATAATGGAGGATTTTTATTGCAATGATGTGCATCTGGGCCCCGAAGCAGCTGGCAACCGGCAAAAGCTGATTAATGCCTGGTCGAGGGCTTTCTGTTAGGAGCCAGGGGGGTGCCCCCACATTCCAGGACCCCGCCTCACTCCCCACTGTTTCCACTGTTTCTGCCACTGTCCCATTCCCACCAGCCCAGCCGGGCTTTTCCCCCCACTGTCCCTGGATCTCGGGGCACAGGACAGTGGGGTGTCTGAGAACTGGGCTCTGACCTCTGCGGCCAGGGCCCTGGCCCAGCACCACAGCTGTGAGCACAGAGCTGCTGTGTTTGATGAGGGGAGCAGCAGGGAACAATGGACGCTTGTGTCGAAGTTGGGGTTCATAGGTTGACTCCCCTGCACGTGCAATAACCCTCCAGTGTCTCACGCTGAGTGGACGCGTGAACGTGCACACCCCAGCTCAGCACCCCCCCGGGTGCCATCAGCCTCCTGGGATCCACCTCGTGGTCTCCTAAGGTTACTTCCTGTGCCCCGCTGGGAAGCAGACAAGGAAGTGGGTCCAGCAGCCCCTCGCTGGCTCCCCCAGGCAGGGAGTAGAGGGGGTGCAGCCCAGGGTCCCCACAGAGTCCCATCCACCCCTTCACTGGATGTTGTCATGAGCATGATACACAGACTAGATGATGACTTTTCATGCTTCTTTTTTTCCCCCATTTCTTTTCTTTTCTTTCTTTTTTTTTTTTTTTCTGCTTTACTTTCTGCATTAAGTTCTGAAGGCTCGGGGTACGTTCTTTCTTCTTTTAATTTGGGTTTGCTCTGGGCTTTAAAATGCGATGTTTCTGTATTCAGGGCCCCGCCCCCAGATATTCCCTGGCTGACTTCAAGAAGGCAATGCTGTCCATGAGGGGAGCCCCTCGGGGGGGCGGTGTCAGAGGGGGGTGGGTGTGACTTGTAAGGACCCCGGCAAAGGTGTCTCTGAGGTCCCCAGATTGGCTTCGTAGGTGCTGGCAGAGTGATTAAGTTCTAGAGTGAAGTATGGGTCATAGATAGGTGGAACTTGAGGGCATGTTGCTAAGGGAGAAAGACAAACCCTGTGTGTTGCTTATCGGCAGACACTAAAGGAGCTGAACTCTTAAGACCAGAGTAGAGTAGGGCTCCTGGGGGCTGGGGGTGGGGGGGTGGGAGGAATTGGGGAGATGAGGTTTCAGGGTACAGACTTTCACCCGGTAGCCCTGGGGGGAAGCAGATGCAGTCAGTGACTGTGTTGGGGACTTGGACATCACTAAGAGGCGAGGTCTGCCCTCTCACCACCCCCCAAAACGACGGCCATCGAGTGACCCGAGGGCAGTCTTCACGCACCAGGGGTCCCGCACGCTGTGGTCGAGAAACATCAGCCCACACCTTAGACACTTGAACATGCAGTGTCTAGCGATATCGCTCAAAAATGAAAAAGAATTTAAAAAAGAAAATGTAGGTAATCAATCAGCGACAAAAAGAGACCTGCAAAAGAATGTTAACAACATCGCCCTTCGCACACTCATTTTTGTTTTATCTTGGAAAGGATGATTAGTTTTCACAATTTTAGATAAATTTATAGTAGTGAGTCTTGCATTAAATGTTGATAAAAATATCTCATTAAAAAAGAAATATTGGGCCCT